GCTGAAGTAGCCTGCAGTACTGTATTTAACCACTGCGCCACCTCGGCTCTATACCATGTTGCTACAAATCGAAAATACATGCTTCTTAAATTTTCTCATAAGAGCTATTGGATATTTTCTAATTTCTTGACCCTGAAACTTGCTCAGAAATATTTTTGGCCATCAATTGATATGCTAAGAAGTGAATATAATAACAGATGGTTACATATAATAAAAGTATAATTTACAGGTTTCCCTTAAGAACATAAGACCTTCGTGGAAATATGTGCTTATGTACTTTTATGTGCCTATCAGTGATGCGTTCCAGATCCCGGTGCAACCGGTACAGTGCAACAGGGTCCGGCGTCCCCCACATGCACGAGTGTAGCATGCGCGCACACAGACATGCATCCTTACCTCCACGACACCTCCGCAACATTCCAGCTGCTCGGCGGAGCATCGCAAAGGTGCCGTATGCTCCGTGCATGTGAATGGAAGGGCTGAAGAGCTCAAATACAGGTAAGGAGCTCGGGTGGGCCCTCTGGAGCACCGTACTGGAACAGTACCCCATACTGGGATGTACCACCTGCAACCCATCACTGGTGCCTATGTTCTGTAATATACATGTATTCTTCACCCTTCAACCACAATTGAGCCCCAAATTTCTGTTGCTAATTGAGACAGTTGTTAAGTGAGGTTTTCCCCATTTTGCAACATTTCTTGCCAGTTGTTAAGCGAATCACTGCAGTTGTTAAGTTAGCAACAGGGTTGTTAAGTGAATCTGTCTTTCCCATTGATGTTGCTTGTCAGGTTATAGAAGTTGATTACATGACCCCGCACACTGCAACTGTCATCAATGAGTCAGTTACCAAGCATCTGAATTTTGATCACTTGACCTAAAGCTGCTACATTAATTGTAAATGTGAAAAATGATCATAAATCACTTTTTTTCAGTGCCTTTGTAATTATGAATGCCACTAAAGGTACTGTTGTAAGTTGAGGACTACCTGTACTTACAAAGCAATGGGAAGAGCAATTTTAGGATTATTATATTGTGATTTGAATATGCTAAATATCATTTTTATAGATATTGTGTATTATTGAAATTACTAAGTCCATTACTTTGAGAGTTCCTAAAGGGAACTTTATTTTTATTTTTACACACACACATACACACACACACACACAGACAATCTCAAGACGTCAACAATTAATTGTTTTCAAATTCAAAGGTTTAGAACTTAAGCTGTGACTTTTCAATAAAGTATCTATTTTTCCCAAGGATGTTAACTGATCACTGCCAGCCTTAAGTGAAAATGGCATATCTGTTAATTTTGATGAATAAATGACAAAAAACAATTTTTTGGGAGATTTTTGTTGAATTATATCACTTTTATGCTGTTAAAATGAAATAAAAGCAACATATTGATTATATCTATTTAAAAAAAGGGAGGAAAGCTTTATATCAGATGTACATTTCACATGACTGTGGATGGGTAAGAATGAACTTGGACTTTGCTCTCCTATGACTTCATCTAATAATTTAACATTACATTTTAACATTTTAGTGAATCAAGCTAATTCGAGTCGTAGTATAAATGAAAACAATGTGCAATAAGGAAGATGTAACTCTTCTAGGTGAAGCCCACTGATTTTGTCAAAACAAATATTAGTAAGAACTGAAGTTATTAAAAAATAAAAATATATAAATTGCAGTCCCCGTCCCCCCCCCCACAGAATATTATATAACAGAACCAAGCACAATGCAAAATGAGACTGGATGGATCTGTATTTCTTTGTAGGAAGACTAGTTATCATAGATATTTCAGGAATAATATTTTCCTTGTAGTAAGCCATATATAATAATATTAAAATATTATGGCTAGATATGCTCAGTTTATTGTAAATGTAGGTTTTCTTATAGGTTTATATGATAGCTATGAAAAATAGTTTAAATGGAATAAACTATAATGATACTTTTCCTAGCAGGGCATGATTATGAGATCATACATCAATAATGTCTTATCAACTTGAAAAACAAGTTCAAGGAGAAGGCTTCTGATTAAAAACAAAGTCACTCCGAAGAGCCCCATTTATTCTTTGGCAATCACAGCAAATACTTTCATTTATTTGGATGAATTATTGGGGGGGAAAAGTATCATTATAGTTTATTCCATTTAAACTATTTTTCATAGCTATCATATAAACCTATAAGAAAACCTACATTTACAATAAACTGAGCATATCTAGCCATAATATTTTAATATTATTATATATGGCTTACTACAAGGAAAATATTATTCCTGAAATATCTATGA